CTTGATCCAACCCTGAGGACTTGTTTTAATAACATAGATGGCTGAGAGAGTTGTCAAATATTATGCTTGGTTTTCTGTTTTAAAAATTTCTCAGACACTACCCTTCTGCAGAAATCTGACATCTGGTAACTTCAGGTGCCTGGAAGACTGCCAGAAAATAAGAAAGGGGCCTCAGAGCACAAGAAAACTGGAAAACCTCCAGTGCCAACGTGTGTCCTTCACCTCTGTGGGAGTGTCAGCCTGCCGTCTGGAGTTTGGCTACTTTAGCTATGTGGGAACTTTTAGTAATGTTGGTGCTCTGGACTGTAAACAGCAAACTAGAAAGTGGGTTGAATTGGGTATGGTGGTGCATACCTTTAGTCCCAACATTTGGGAGGCAGAAGCTGTTGGATCTCTATAAGGTCAAGGCCAGCCTTGTCTACATAGCAGGTTCCAGCCAGGGCTATGCAGTAAGACTCTGTCTTGAAAAAGATAAAATTAAAAAAGGGTGGAAAAGCTGATTGGAGGGTGATGCAGCTGAAAAGATAATTCAGTGGTAAGAGCATTGGCTGCTCTTCCAGAGGACCCAGGTTCAATTCCCAGCACCTCCATGTCAGCTCACAGCTGTAACTCTAGTTCCAGGGGATCTGACACCCTCTTCTGGTAGGCGCCAGGCACATGTGTGGTGTAGGGACATACATATAGACACACCCGTATGTATAAAATAAAAATAGATAAATCTGTAAAAAAAATGAAGCTGACGAGGCTGAAAGCAGAAGCTGGCTAGCACCAGAGGAGGAAGGCCTGGGGACCTGTGACTGTCTAAGACTGTGGCCGTGGTTAAATGCAGCACAGTGCTGTACGGCTGAAGTAATGACCTTGCTTCCGGCAGTCTGAGTGAACCATGTACATTCGGTGTCTTCTTTGGGAGACATCAAAAAGGCACAAGATGTGTCTTGTTTTGCTTTTTTTCATATAAGATCTGACTACATTAGCCCAGGGTGATCTAAGTCTCAAAGTTCTCCTGTCTCAGCCGTTTGAGTTCTGGGTTTTGTGGGTATATGCTTATTTTTAAACGTGGTCAAAATTAAATTAACCCTGTTGAAATAGGAAACACTGACGTGTTTATCTACCAGAAGACAGTGCATTCTCTGGTGATCGGTGGCACGGATTTGAACTTGTGGTTAATTATGGGAGTGATTTATAATAGGCACTGATGTTTATATCAGTCATGTCCTCAGCACATCCACACAGCATGCTGGGTAAGGCTTGGGTGGCAGATGGATTTGGATGCCCATTCTGTCTCTGACTTATTGTAAGTGTTACAGCTCCAGAGGGAAAGGTATCCTGACTTGTCAGGAAGTCAGATTACACCTGAAGCTATGAAGGGAGATATTCTGGATACCCACAGCTGTGAGGAGAAAGGTATCCTGACCTGTCAGGAAGTCAGGCTCTACCTGAAGCTGTGAGGAGAAAGGTATCCTGACCTGTCAGGAAGTCAGGCTATACCTGAAGCTGGGGGGCAGTAGAGGATGGTCTATCCATAGGATGTGGCAATCCTGCTTCTCTCTCCGAGAGCTTACAGCTGAGCTCTGCTCTGCCCCCTCTTAAGCTTCCCAGCAGAGACTCTGCTCCTCACCCACGAAAGAAAATCTTTACTCAAAACTCTGTTAAGAAAGAGATTTTTTGGGAAGGAGGAATCCAGGAGAGTGGCTGCCTCTGCCAGGGTGGAGAAGGACAGCTGATACCCGAACAGGCGGAGGGGTTTATGTAGGGCTGCTTAGGGGCGGGGTTTTTCCAGGGAGAAGGTTTTCAAGAAGGGAATTGGTCAGATTTTCATTCCCTTGCTCAAACTGGCTAGATTTTGTGCTCAGGGATTGGTTGGTTAGGGGCAGAGTTGGCTCTGGTTTCTTTCCCTGGCCCTTTTTAGCCTTTTGGCTCTAGTTTCAGGGCCAGGGCGTAATTCTTTTACTGGTTCTGGTTTGAGGGCCAAAGTGTGTTTCTTTGGTTCTGGTTTCGGGGCTAAAGTGTTTCTTTCACTGGCACTGGGTTCAGGGTCAGGGTGCTAGATTTTGTGCCCAGGGGTTGGTTGGTTTCCTGCTCAGGAATTGGTTGGTTTTCTTGCTCAGGGATTGGTTGGTTTTATGTTCAGTTGGTCGGGGCAGAGTTGGCTCTGGTTTCAGGGCCAGGGTGGGTTTCCTTGCCTGGCCCTTTTACCCTACACTTACTATGTGACCTTAGAATTGACCATCTTTGAACCTGTGTCCTTATCTGCCCAATGGGAACTACTAATAAACGGGCAGGTCATTGTGAGGACTCACTGATGTGGTTGGTATACAGTGAAGTGTGTGGAATGAGGAAGCACTGTGTAAATGTTGGTCATTGATTTTTATCATTATAGTCATCCTCATGATGGTAACTGTGAAAGTACTAATATCTTCGTTTCTCAGGTCATGGAAACGGAAGACCTGAGAGTTTACGTGGTGTGTGCAGGGTGAATAAGCTGAAGAACAGTAAACTGGGATTTGAACTGTAGTGGGTGGCTGTTCTAGCTATGACTTGAAGCACCGCCCCTAGTAAGGTAGCAGGTAACTGTTACACCTGCCAATGACCTTGAAGTACATGCCCCTGGGGCCGCTCGGGACCCTTAAGACCTGGGATGCACATAAGTGGTGCTCTCTTCTCTCCTTCATGGGACTTGGAATCGGGGATGATCTCAGGCGGAAGAACAGTGTGGGACTGTGCCTCACCCTTCCAGGATCCTGCGACAATTCCTCTGTTCTGTCTCGTGAGTTTTCCTTCCCTAATAAATTCCTTTGCCCTTAAAGCAGACTCCATGGATTTCTCGCATTCTTGAACTTCGCTCCTTGTCACTGAAGAAGCCTAGTGTTTTACATGCACACTGCGCTATGTCTTCAGAGTCTATTTATATAAATGTTAGATTTGGTTTTTGTTTGTCTGTCTGTCTGTTTTAGGTTCTCACTATGTAGCCCTGGCTTCCCTGGAGCTCATTATGTAGACCAGTCTGGCCTCCTACTCACAGAGAGCTGCCTGACTCCCTGCCCCTTGAGTGCTGGAATTGAAGGCGTGCACCACCAGGCACAACTGATAAGATGTGTTAGGAGATGCTCGGTAGTAGAACGCTTGTCCAGCATGCATGAGGCCCTGGCTTCTGTGCAAAGCACCGTGAAAGGAAACCGAAAGCAGAAAGCCTGCGGTAGAGGAGGGCGAGGAGTGAGCAGCGACCACTTCTCTGTTTTTGCTGTGGCCCCTGTCATCTCATTATTGAAAAAAAAAAAATCCCAGTAGTGCAAGAATAAGCTGCTTTGACCTGACAGTCCAAATCAAATGCGTAATATTTAATTATGGAGCATAGTTAAAAATGACAATATACTGAACTATTTATTAGATGCTTCCTACATTTTTTTTCACACCAGTGAAAGTCATAGACTACAGTTATAGCTATCTTATCATTTTCTTCCCATTAGACATTCAGTTCTCTTTAAATAATTATATACTGGGGGCTGGAGAGATGGCTCAAAGGTTAAGATCACTGGCTGCTGTTCCAGAGGTCCTGAGTTCAATTCCCAGCAACCAGTGGTGGCTCACAACCATCTATAGTGGGATCTGGTGCCCTCTTCTGGCCTGCAGGGACACATGCAGGCAGAACATTGTATACAAATTTATTACAGAGTACTGTAATGAATAAATGAATGGATAAATAAGTATTTATATATACTTATTTACTATCTCTTGCATGCTCTATCTGTGTGTGTGTGTGTGTGTGTGTGTGTGTGTGTGTGCGCGCGCGCGCGCGCGCCCCCAGAGGCCAGAAAAGGGCTTAGGAGTCACATGAGCTAGAATTATAGGCAGCTGTGAGTCACCTGACATGGATCCTGGGAATCAAACTCATTTCCCTAGAAGAGCAGTAAGCTCTCTTAACTGCTGTGCTATCCCTCCAGCCCCTGGTTCTCTCCCCTGCCATAGGTCCCGGGAATCAAACTCAGGTTGCCTGTCTTGGAGACAATCACCGTTATTAGCTGAGCCACTTCACTGGCCTGTCTCGGTGCTTTTTGATGAAGTTAGTCATGTGTGAGATGAAAAAAAATCTCCACCTTCAACAATACTGAATGAGTCTTGGAGAAGAATAAAGAAACATGGGACCCTGGCCAGCGTGGAGAGCTTGAGCTTCGCCCTGTGCAGCCCCTGAGAAGGCATGTGGAGAATGTGGGTCCAGTCATGGCTGGGCATTCCTAAGTGAACACACACATGCCCTTCATGCCCTTATTTTCTAGTGCACAGACAGATCCTTAGCTCGCCAGCCCTACACACTAGAGTAACACACCCATCATGCATTGTGGTACAGACCCTCAACAGTGCAGGCTGGGCCGCCGGCATCTTTAAACCAGAAAGAAATGCCTCATCTGCTGGTACTAAATATCCCCCAGAGACACCATCTCCGGCCCTTCTCATTCTTTTCATAGACTTCCTTTCTCTGTGGGTTTTAAATCTTGGTGTGTGGGTCCTGACCCTGCTGTGTGTATACTTGGACAAATTAGATTATCTAAACTTGCAGATTGTCGTCATCCTTGTCTTATGATTGTCGTAGGAAATGGATGAAATGCTGTGTGTAATTTCAAGTCTTTGGATTTTAAATACTGTATTTTAAAAGTACTATATTGCCTAGAACTTTAGTCATGGTGAAATAATAATATCCTTACCTCCCTCTTCTGGCACGTCAGAAACCTGTCTTCCCCAACTTGATTCTTTCATCTCTACAGTTTGGGCTAGTTGTTAGGTTTTTGTTGTTATTGTTGTTTGTTTCCGATTCTAGGCTTACACTGAGAAGCTAAAGAAGATCCATGAGGAAATTATTATTTTTAAAGAAATAACTTTATATTTTTATATTTTATATATTTTATATTGCATTTACATTATCTTCATATTTTAAGTTTAGGTTTTTAAGAACCAGGTTTACAGTATGTCTTAAATAGCTTTGTTTTCTCATGCCCTGGGCTTTGCAGGTTGTGAAACATGGAGGCCGGCTCTGTGGTCCGAGCCATCTTTGATTTCTGCCCCAGTGTCTCAGAGGAACTGCCGCTGTTTGTGGGAGATGTTATTGAGGTGTTGGCCGTGGTGGATGAATTCTGGCTTCTAGGAAAGAAGGAGGACGTTACAGGTAAGAGGTACCCCTCCTCTCTTCCTTGCTCATTAAAGATAAAGGTCAGATGTGAAGCCCAAGTGATCCTTTCACTTCCCCCATGTCTGCGTTCTGCGCTCACACGTGCCTCTGGCCGTGGGGAGAGGTTCTCTCCGTATCGACTCCTTGTGGAGGCTGGATGGGCAGACACCTGCTGCCCCAGCCTCGTTTCTGTCTGTCTTTCTCTTCCCGTCCCAATGCTCTGTCTTTCATGTCCAGTACTCTTGTTCCCCTCCGCAAACTGTGCATCGTTCCTCTCTTCAGAACTCTTGGTCTTTGTCGTTGCTCTTTGCAGGCGGGCTGGCCGCAGCTGAGTGGGATGTAAGTACACCCCACCTCACCCCTCTGGCTTTCTGCCTTTTACAGCTCCTGTTCCGTCTCCCATTCTCTTCAGGGGAGCCTCACTTATCCCACTCGGTCCTTCATGGATCTGCATGGGCAAAAATTAATTAAAGCTACCTTCTACCTTGGATGCTCCAGTCTCCCATGTTTGTACTTCCGGCTATCTTTCTTCTATTTCTGAGATTCATATTAACGTGGATTTCTTCCATTAACTGCCCTTTTCACCACACATCAAGCAGTTGTACTCATTTAGTCTTTAATTTTCATGTCTGTGTGCACCTGGGTTGGAGTATGGGATGTAGTTCTGAGAATAGGTACTGTGAACACTAACCAACTTTGGGGAGATATGCAGATTATTATTTCTAGTAGAAGTGATGCTTCTGTTCAGATCAAACCGAGGAGTAGGTGTTAGCAAGGCAGAGAGACTTGCTTGCTGTGGCCCTGACATGGCCATGAACACAGCGGTGGTACCGAGGAAGCATCAGTAGGACACCAAGTGGTTGGGGTCCAGAGGACAAAGGCGTGCAAGGTCAGAAGTTGAGGGGGCCAGACACTGTGGCTTTCAACATCATCAGACCTCTGTCTTCGAAATACTGCCACTGTTAGCTTAAGAAGATGGGATGGGGGGACTGGAGAGATAGCTGAGTGGTTAAGAGTACTGTCTTTGGGGCTGGAGAGATGGCTCAGTGGTTAAGAGCACTGACTACTCTTGCAGAGGTCCTGGGTTCAATTCCCAGCAACCACATGGTGGCTCACAACCACCCAATGATATCTGGCGCCCTCTTCTGGTGTGCAGGCATACATGCAGATAGAATAGTGTATATATAATAAATAAATAAATAAATAAATAAATAAATAAATCTTTAAAAAAATAGAGTACTGTCTTTCTTCTAGAGGACCTGGGTTCGAGTCCCAGCATCTACATGGCAACTCACAACAGTCTAACTCCAGTTTCAGAGGAGCCAGTGCCCTCTTCGGACCTGCACATGGTGTACAGACAAAACACACATACACATAAAATAAAGCAATAATTAAAAAAAAAAAAAAAAGAACGATAGGCCAGGCACTGGTGGCGCACGCCTTTAATCCCAGCACTCGGGAGGCAGAGGCAGGTGATCTCTGTCAGTTCCAGGCCAGCCTGGTCCATAGGGTGAGTTGCAGGAGATTTATTGTTACCCAGGAGGCAGGTGATGATGGCTCATGCCACAGTGGTGGGTCTGGGGAAGTGTGGGCAGATTCAGGAAACATCTCTTGTTCTTTGTTCCTCCAGCTGGCAGGCCCTGCCTTCCTACACCACCTATAAAACTCTACCCATCTTCAGACTGAACTGTTATTTCATAAAAAACTCTGTTCCTCCTCTGAACCTCCATGGCGTGTGTGTGGGTTTCAGGATTCCATTTTCCTCTTTGTCCAGGTGAACTTTCAGATCTTTAAAGACCAAGACCACCCAACTCACATCTCCCTCTTCAGTGAACCTGTTAGAGTGCCAGTGGTTAATGCTTATTGAGGTTGTGTGTGTGTGTGTGTGTGTACATGCAAGTGGACATTTGGAAAGCACAGGACAGCTTGCAGGATTCATTTCTCTCCTTACACCGTGGGGACCTGGGAATCTAACTCAGGTCACCAGGCATGGCTGCACATGTCATTACCCACTCAACCATCTCACTGGCCCAATAAATGCTTTTGAGTTGTGTTCTCTGCCCTATACATACATTTAGCTTTGAACTGTGCACTTTATCTGTAGTAAATTCTCTAATTATTAGCATTAGGTCAATTTTCAATTCCAAATTTGCAACTGTACTGAGAAAAAGAGTTGTCCTTGTACACAGACAGAGGAAAAAAAATAATCTTAAGAGAACACTCAGTGTTTAATGTGTGCTTCTGTTTTTCAGGACAGTTTCCCAGCAGTTTTGTGGAGATTGTGACAATCCCCAGTCTGAAAGAAGGAGAGAATTTGTTTGTTTGCACCTGCGAATTCTCATCTCGGGAGCTGAACAGTCTTTCTCTCCATCGGGGTAAGAGCATCAGAGATCTGCAGTCTTGAGAGCAGGGTCTTTCAGAGACGTTTACACTGGTTAGCCTGTCTCTGCAGCCGCCACAATGACGTAACGCCTGTGAGAGGAAGGCCTTATGTTATAGTGCGCGGTAATTTTCATGGGATTTCCTCAGAAAGGTATTCTTTTGTTGTTTTAGATTTACTTTTATTTTTTGAGACGGGGTCTTTATATATCTCCCTGGCTGGCATGGAACTTCATATGTAGACCAGGCTGGCCTCAAACTCACAGAGATCTCCTTGCTTCTGCCTCCTGAGTGCTGCGATTAAAGGCGTGAGCCACCATGCCAATCCGTTTTTATTTTAAATTATGTGTGTGGGGGGATACGAATATGTACGCATGAGTGCAGGTATCTGGGGGGTGAGAAGGGGATGTGAATCCTCTGGTGCTGGAGTTACAGGCGGTTGTGAGCTGCCTGCTGTGTGCTGGCAACCAGACTCCTGTGCTCTGCCTTAGTCTATGTCCTTAGCTGCTGAGCCGCCATCTCTTCAGCCCCTACAAAAGTATTCTTAGGGATCTTCAACAGTGGGAGTATTAGCAGCTGCACGTTATACATGACAGTGTAGTTCAAAGGCAATTCACTCCAGGCAAGAGGTATGGCCTCAGGACATCCTCAGTCCAGTGTTATTTGTTCACTATCCTAAGCTGCAGACACTTTAGACAGTGTTAATCTCTTCCTCAGAAATACTACCTTGTATGATTTTGCTGAAAACATTGCTACTTACTAAAGAACAATAGGGAACCGGTGATTTTGATGAAGAAGAGACAGATGCAAGCCTGTCCCATTGCTGTGCCTCCATTGGGTAGAGCAAAAGAAACAGTTGGAACAGATGGTGCCAGCCACATCCCCGGGATGATTCAAGTATTTCTCACCATTGTACTCTAAAGGCATGGACTTCCAGAGATGGACAGGAAACCATTTCCACGTCCGCTTGGTGAAGTCTACGCCGTTCTACACAAACACAGAGACCAGCAGGGCTGCAGCCCGAGCCTTGTGACCCCACCCAGCTTTGTGATGTCCCAGTCAGCGTATCAGAATAGAACTTACTTATAAGCTCTGTTGTTTGCATTGTAACTGTCCTTTTAGTATGATACTGAAGGCACAGGTATTCTTACACACACACACACACACACACACACACACACACACACACACACACACACGCGCGCGCGCGCGCGCGCACACACGGTAGGGAATCGAGAGCTAGCAAACTTCTCTAGCCCCTGGTCAATGAGAGGAAAACAATATTGGGTTTTTTGATGTTCATCCTCAAGACCTGTCTTGGAGTTTCGTGCATGTTCGCCTGTTCTCAGTCTTTGCCTCTCCCTCTGGTCTGGAGCCTTCTTGCTAATCAGGGTTGGGAAGATAGTGGAAACTAGACCTAAGACTCTGGCAGGATCTTTGTCCTCCCTCACACTATCCCAAGGCGGTCTGGAGTCTGGGGCAGGCCTCCCCAGGTAGGGCGGAAGAAGGACAAGAGCCTGTTGGTGTTTCTGCGAGACATGCACAGGATGTGAGCAGCATGGCCTGATTATTGGTTTGTTTCAGTGCTGGAGGTTGACACCCAGGCCGTGAGCACACTGGATGGCGAGACAAGCACTCTGCCACTGAATCACATCTCCAGCTTTAGCATGGGCCTTTTCTTTCCTAGTCTTGGCTCCTGCTGAAAACAGCAGATAGAAGGAGTGTTGTGTGAAAATAAACAGTGTGTATGTAGTGTTATGAAGAATTTGAGGGAATCGCTGCTAGAATTAATTTTGCTTCAACACTGTATGTTATATGGTCAAGTCTTAGGCTTCAAAACATTTTTAAAAAACAAGATTTTCTGCTGAAGCCAGCACTGAGAAGACTCATCTGATGTGTTCTGAGCTGGCTCTGAAATTAAATCCGCCTAAGGCACTCAGTCCCCCCCTGCCCCCCCCCCCCGAGGTTCTCGGGAAGACCCCGGCACTGACCTGTTAGCCATGTAGCCATGAGTCACCTGAGCAAGAGTGAGTGAGCCAGGGTCAGGCTGGGCTCCAGTCAGCAGGTCTTTGTCTTCACTGATGTGTGCGTGTCTGCGCACATGTGTACAGGTGCCTGTGAGGAGGGCATCAGTGCCTGGGCACGGAGGTTACAGGTGGTTGTGAGTCACTCTGTGTGGATACTGGGAACTGAACTCTGGTTCTCTGCACGAACAGTCCTCTTAACTACTAAGCTATTTCTCCAGCCTTGAATCTGTAGATCTTCATTAAAAAATAAAAAAGCTTGCGTGTGGGTGGTTTTGCCTGTGTCTATGTCTGTGTACCACACGTAGGCCTGGTGCCCACAGAAGCCTGAAGAGGGCACTGGACCCCCTGGAACTGGAGTTGTAGATGTTGTGTGCTGCCTTGTGGGTGCTGGGAAACAAATTCCATCAATCGCTACTTAAGAAAATGCCCTACAACCAGATCTTGTTTGTTTGTTTGTTTGTTTGTTTGTTTGTTTGTTTGTTTGTTTTGAGACAGGGTTTCTTTGTGTAGCCCTGGCTGTCCTGGAACTCACTCTGTAGATCAGGTTGGCTTTGAACTCAGAGAGATGCTCCTGCCTCTGCCTCTGAGTGCTGGGATTAAAGGCTCGCACCACCGCTGTGTGGTTTACAGCAGGATCTCATGGAGGCGTTTTCCCCACTGACGTTCCCTCCTTTGGGTGACTCTAGCTTGTGACAAGTTGATGTAAGAGTAGCCAGCACAGCAGTGGGGTGGCTTCTCTTCTGTGCACACAAAACTTGAGTGGTGAATAAACAAACCAGAAGGAGACCGGAGACTTCCAGGAGTATTGGGGTGCTAAGAGTATAGTCCAGTTGGTAGAGTACTTGGCTAGTATGCTCAAAGCCTTGGGTCCAGTCTTACGATGCATCCACCTCTGTAGTTGTACATGCCAGTAATCCCAGCATTCAGGATGTAGAGGCAGAATAGCCTGGAATTTAGTCCTCTTCTGCCACACTGCCAGCCTCGGCTACATGAGAGCCCTTTTGTGCCTTGCCACCCTGCCTGTTTAGTTGTTATTAAATTACACTTAAGAAGTAGCATTAAGATTAATAAGAGCAGCTGGAGAGATGGCTCAGTGGTCAGGAGCACTCTGCTTTTCCAGGGGACCCAGGTTCAATTCTCAGCACCCATGTAGAGGCTCACAACCATCTGTAACTCCAGTTCTAGAAGTTCTGACTTCTGGCTTCTTCAGGATTGCACACACATCCATGCAAACAATACACCCATACAAAGAAAAACACATAAAGTCATCCAAAGAGAAAAATTGTATGTGTGTGTATGTATGAGTAATTTGTGTTATGACTAGTATGTTAAAATTAGGCAATATGGCTTAGAGGATAGGAATTCTAATGGTCCTAGATTTAAATCCATCTTTGCCACATAGTAGCTGTGATGTTGGGCTAGCACATTGCTAGCCTTATGTACAGGCTGGAGATGACAACACCTACCTCAGGGTAGCTGTTAGGACCAGTGAGGTTGTAAACCAGGCAGAGGGACATGCTCTGTGGCTCCTGAGGCCTGCCTTCCTTCTGTGAAGTTGCTGTGTATGGGATGTTTCCCCAGTCTACCTGGAGTCATCACTGATTCTGCCAGCAGGTGTCACCCTCCCCACTTCCTGAAGCCACTCAGTTATTTTGGACTGTGCTATGTGTTTTGGTTCAGAAACAAAACTGTCTTCTGGAAGAGTCAGTATGAGTTTGTGGCTAGAGTCACCAGCTGTCCAAAAAATAAAGAATAGAACACGAAAAGTGAAGGGGAAAAAAAGGAAAAGAGAGGAAGGAAGAAAAGGAAAAGAATGTGTCAAGGGAAAGACAAGAAGATCAGGAGGTCATTTCCTCACACAACACAGAATGCTTATGGCTGTCTGTCTACACCTCGCATTTCTAGGCAACCTCCTCTCAAAATGATAATTTATAAATAGGTTTCTGACTGATCTTTATCAGTCAAAGCACAAGCATCTTAGATTTTAATGCCGTGAGATGAAGTGTTAGGATAAGCTCTAATTATAAATTAAAGGAAATATGTGGTCTGCACAAGGCACACGGTCCCCTGGGCAGTTAGCGCCATGAGTGGAGGTAAGGAAGGAGCTGGGCCTGTGGAGTCAGGCAGCGTGTATCAGAGTCTAACCAGACCTACATTCCTTCCTGTAATCTCACTTCCAGTCCACTTCCTGTTCAGAGAAAAATTCCAACCAAAGAAACAAGCAGGATGGTTGGGAGCAGTCACATTTGACCCCAAGGGTCACTGCAGTTTCTGCTTTCCTGTTCCCAAACCTGGTCCTACCATTCCAGGAATTCTTTATATTGGTGTTTTTGAAGTCTAGAATGACTGGGTATCCTCCATTCCTAAAGAATTACCCAGACTCCAGGGAAATAGCTTGCCTGACTAATTAAAACAAGAGATTTTTGAAAACAGAAACCAGAGAAACCACCACCACCACCACAAACCCACCCCAGGGAAGTTAGGCCTTAAAATAAAGGTAATCACCAAGTGAGGGGAAAAAACAAAGGACAAAATCAAAAACATAAGGTGGGGATGTTGAACTAAAGTAAAGTGCCATCTAAATTGTGTGTGTTGATGGGAGAGGGGCGTCATCTTGTTTTGTTTTGAGAACCCTCCTTTATAACTGTGGATAACCAGCAGAGCTACAGTCTGCCCGGAAACAAAGCTCATCAAAACCACTGTTGGAATAGACAGGAAAACAAGCCCCATTGTCCAAGTTCATGGAGATCTGGCCAGACAGAGCGCACTGTCATTCTGCAGCTTGAAGTGAGCCAGGCATTTCAAAGCCAGCGGAGTGGGAGTTAGGACATGCTTTGATTTTCCTATTCACCAAGAGACCCATTGTGTCTGAGCAGTCATGTCACCAGTGACTTCCCACGGAGGCCTGGATGGCAGGCCTCAGGGCCACTGGGGGAGGGCGGTAACTTGTAATTCTCAGGACCCAAAGCTTTGGCCAGTGCAAAATTAAGGACTACAGGAATATGGGAGCAAGACACCATTTTTAGGCATTTCCAAATAAAACTCTAAGCACAATAAAATGAAATCAGGAAATATACAGGGTGTCTACCACTAAGTCTAAAATGTTATATTATATGCTGTGCACTGTGCCGACATACAAATGCCAGGACTGAAGGGATAAGTGGGGTGCTTCGGTAGGCCACAGATGGCCAAGCAGCTGTGAGCTCCTAAGATTTTAAGGAGGCCTGCTAAGGTTTCAGATGGAGAGAGAGTAGCAGTAATAAAGATTCGGAGTTCAGCAGGATGTGGTGGCATGTGCTCTTAATCCAAGCACTTCGAAAGCTGAGGCAGGAGGGTTGCAAGTTTGAAGCCAGCCTGGGATCCATCGTGAGACCCTGTCTCAAAAGCAAACAAAGCAAAAATCCTTTTGTGTGAGATTTCCCAGGGTCTCACATCATAGGTGAGATCATGATGGATGGATGGAGAACAGAGAGGTGACTGGATAAACCCGAGCACAGCTCAAACAGGGCGGAAACAGAACAGCCTGCTGCTGTCTAGGTAAAGAGACGCTCCAGAGTGAGTACAGAACAAATATGTTTTTATTGAATTCACTCAATAAGATCAGGATTGTTCCCAGCACGTGGGAGTCTGAGGCAGGAGGATTGGAACAAGTTTCAGGCCAGCCTGTGCTCTGGAGTGAGACTGTATCTCGGAAAACAAAGAGAGGTTATTAGGAGAAAGTGGTGAGCAGTAGGCCGTCATGCCTTGTGACTAAAGTTTAAGCAAAAGGATGCTGTACAATTGGCACATTTACAATCATTCGATGGGCTGGAAGAAATAATGTTTGGGTAAAATTTAAAAGGAAAGATGGGGAATTAAACTAGGCTAGGGTATTAGCAAAGAGAATTAATACATGGGAGAAATGTTTTGAAAGAAGAAATTAAAGGGAACGAGGAAGTTAGCAATGGGAGCCAATTTTAGATGCAGGAGACTATGATGAATTTGGGAGCTATGGCTAAATAAAGAATAATCATTATTAACAAATGGCTGCTTAGCGTTCACTACACAAAAGGCAACATCTCAGACTCTTAAGATACAAAACAGAAGTGTGCCCATCACCAATTCACTTACACACACTTGGGAAGGTAGGGCACACAATCTTTTTAAAAATCAGGAATGAGGCTGAGAGATGGCTGAGAAGTTAAGAGTACTGACTGATGCCCGGCGGTGGTGGCCAGCACTCGGGAGGCAGAGCCAGAAGGATCTCTGTGAGTTCGAGGCCAGCCTGGTCTACAGAGTAAGTTCCAGGATAGACACCAAAACTATGAAGAGAAACCCTTGGGGTGGGGCAGGGAAGTACTGACTTCTCTTGCAGAGGAGCCAGGTTCTGTTCTCAGCGTCTACGTAGTGACTCCCAACCACCTATAATTCTAGTTCCAAGGGATCAGGTGCCCTCTCCTGTCTTTCTCAGGCACTGCATGCACCTGGTGCACAGATGCAAACACCAATACATATAAAATAAAAGCAATCTCCTTTAATTGCCCAGGAGCGCATAAAAGTCAAGAACATAACAGCTAGCCCCTCCCCGGTGCATTTGACTGGGAACCGTGTACTGCTGCCCCTCCTGACTGTTTGCCAGGGTCTGCCTCCCTCGAGCAGGGTCTTCCTCCCTCAGGCAGGGTCTGCCTCCCTCAGCCAGGGTCTGCCTCCCTCAGCCAGGGTCTGCCTCCCTCAGCCAGGGTCTGCCTCCCTCAGGCAGGGTCTTCCTCCCTCAGGCAGGGTCTTCCTCCCTCAGGCAGGGTCTGCCTCCCTCAGGCAGGGTCTGCCTCCCTCAGCCAGGGTCTGCCTCCCTCAGCCAGGGTCTGCCTCCCTCAGCCAGGGTCTGCCTCCCTCAGCCAGGGTCTGCCTCCCTCAGGCAGCTCTGCTCAGGAGAGTTGGCCCATGCACTGACCAGAGGGAAAGCTCAGAGTAAGATGAAAATTAATAATCCACAAAATGAATGTCCATAGTTACATAATCAAGCGTTTGTTATAAAGCAGTTGATTATAGAACTATGGAATGTGTTTTTAGAACTGTGGTGAATCTAAACCCTCGGACAGACACAATTTTGGGGTGTATATTTTGTGACGGCTACCTGAAATACTGGTTATTTGCAACAACAGAAGAGCAGGTCCCTGGGATTTTTAAATCTTCTTATAGGGCCAGCAAGACGGCCCGGCAGTGAAGGTGCTTACTGCCAAAGCCAACAGCCTGAGCTCTGTCTGCAGGCCCCATGTGGCAGGAGGAGAGACTCTCGGTGGATAGACATGTAAGCCCAGCACTGAGGAGACTGAGGCAGAACTGTGGTGACAGCCTGGGCGACGCAGGGCAGCCCTGTCTCAACAACGGCAAAGAGGCGATGGCGCTGTAGGCTGTAGTGTTATTCTCTGGTTCTGGCCAGGTTCTGACTTTCGCTTCTTTCTTCAGGAGACCTGGTGATTCTTGATGGCACCCCAACTGCGGGATGGCTGCAGGGCCGAAGCTGCTGGGGGGCCCGGGGCTTCTTCCCGTCTTCTTGCGTTCGTGAGCTCTGCCTCTCCTCCCAAAGCCGGCAGTGGCACTCACAAAGTGCCTCGCTTCAGATTCCAGAATACTCCATGGGACAAGCACGGGCCCTCATGGGGCTGTCTGCCCAGTTGGATGAGGAACTGGACTTCAGGGAAGGAGATGTGATCACCATTATTGGAGTTCCCGAGCCAGGCTGGTTCGAAGGAGAATTGGAGGGTCGGAGAGGCATTTTCCCAGAAGGCTTTGTAGAGCTTTTGGGGCCCCTGAGGGTTGTGGATGAGTCGGTAAATTCTGGAAGTGGAGATGACTGTGTTGCTAACGGCGAAGTAGACATCTCCACAGGAGAAGTAGAAAGTGGGGCTGACGAGGCTGACCACCCGTCCGGGACCTATGGACTGGCCCTCTACAGATTCCAAGCCCTGGAGCCGAATGAGTTGGATTTTGACGTAGGGGATAAAATCCAAATTCTGGGGACCTTGGAGGATGGCTGGCTGGAAGGACGTTTGAAGGGCAGGACAGGTATCTTTCCCCATCGCTTCGTGAAGTTATGTCCTAGCCCCAGGACAGAAGAAACCGTGGGTCTGCCCCAGGAAGACAGTCTCCCTAAGAACTCTGAAAGTTCTGTGGACGGGTTGGGGAACTCAGTGGTGGAGGAAGCAAGACTTGAACCAGAGACGTGTGAAGCAGAAAGGTGTGACTGGAGTCTGTCTGAACAACCCCAGGTCCCCCTAGATCGTGGGGTCCCTGAGTGTGCTGTAAGCGAGGACTCTGGTCAAAGTGAAGAAGCCTTTGGAAGCTCCCCAGGTGTGGATCCTGAAAGGCCTCTTGTTAAAGACTCTTCCACACCTGACCCCTCAGAGATAGTCAATGGTATTTCTTCCCAGCCTTGGGTACCTGGTCACCCCAAAGTGCAAAAAAGTCAGTGTTCCTCAACAGCAAGAGGGAGCCACCAAAGCTCAGCCCCATCCGCTGAGTTTGTCCCTCTAGAAGCCTGGACTAGAGACTACTCCAGCCTGCCTCCCAAGAGGACATATGCCCAGTGCAGGTCCCTCGGGAAGCCAGCACCCCCACTTCACAGGGCCTCCTCCCTCTCGGCCTCAAGGATAGCCAGACCTAGCTACTTTTGCCATCCGGTTATGACCAGCTATTCTCAGAGGCACCAAACATCTGCAGAAAACGCCTCCAGCCTCTACTCTGCACCAGGGAGACCAGAGAGGAGGCCTGGGCCACCAGACAAGGGGCCCACCACAGAGGTAGCCACAGCGTCACAGGGGGACAGCATCGACCTGGATTCCAAGTTGACCCAACAGCTGATGGAATTTGAGAAGAGCACAGAGCTGGATAAAATTGCACGCCGCTTTTCAATCATGGACTTTAACTCTGAGAAGGATATTGTCAGAGGCTCCTCAAAGTTACTGTCCTCACAGGATCTCCCCGAGAGGAGAAAGGCCCTGAGGCCGCCGCCGCCCAGACCCTGTACCCCAACACTCGTTTCTCCCCACTTGCTGCTTGACCAGAGCCCAAAACCTACACCCCCTTTGGCTGTGCGGCCCTCCCGCCCTGCTCCCCTGCCTCCTTCCACACAGCCGAGGGTGAACACAGCTTCCCCCAAGCCCACCCCCGGTGCCCACCCCAGTTGGGAGGCCCCAGAGAAGGAGTGCCCCGAGCACATGGAGCAGAGCCCAGCCCAGACTTCTCCGTGCCCCTCTGTGCTGGCGAGGATTCAGGATGTGGAACACGACTTGGACATGTACACCAGGGCTCAGGAAGAGCTGAGCTTGATGTTAGGGGAAAGGCACGGTGACTTGCTGAGGGCGGAGACTCTGGGGAATCTCAAGTTCTACGAGAGCACCATCCAGAGTCTGACCCTGGAGCTCCAGCAGCTGAGAGGTAAGTGAAGGAAGCCGCGTGACCCTGACTCCTGTGCTGAGGCTCAGTGAGGGCCTCGCTATGTGAGAAACATCCTGGTCCTCACAGAGAGATTTACAGTCTGTTACCCAGTCCCCCATTCCGTCACCTAATTAGATTGCTCTGCCGTGCTCTATCTCCGACCACTGGATTCTCTGACTTCTTTACTGCTCCAGTAGAGAAGCCCAGCCTCAGAGAGGTGTGTATTTTTGACACAGTACCCCCTCTGCCGCTGTGGCATCCACGCTGCTTTGCAGATAGGAAGTTCCTAAGAGACTTTCTAAACTGAAGTTTCCCGGCCCAAGACGTCTCCTGAGAAAACTAGAACTTGTATCTTGGGGATCAGGGGCCGTATTTCAGCAGCAATATCCCGTATTTCTTACTTGTTAGCATTTGTTATTACCATTCGTTTACAGCGTCTTCACGGCTGTCCTGGAAGTACATACAGGGATCGTTCAGATGGCCACTCTATAGAGGGAGGGACTAAGACCCAGCTGTTAGGGAACTTGCCGAGAGCTGAGGTTTAAGCTGGTGTTTTCACTACTACAGCTTTTAACTTCCCACTTTGTGCATGCAGAAATGCATATTCTGTGGCTAGTCTCTGGAGATGTGTGTGTGTGTGTGTGTGTGTGTGCGCGCGCGCGCGTGCGTGCGCGCGCGTGCGTGCGCGCGTGCAGGCATGTACCGGTATATGTGTAGGTATGCATGCATATATGTGTACATGTGTGTAGGTCAGAGGTCAACCTTGGGTATTGTTCCTCAGTTGTTTTTTTGAGACAAGGTCTCTCATTGGCCTAGAGTAGTGGCTCTCAACCTCCCTGATGCTGTGACCTTTAATACAGTTCCTCATGTTGTGGTGACCCCCAACCATAACATTATTTCGTTGCTGTTTCATAACTGTAATGTTGCTACTCTTATGAATAGTAATGGAAATATCCTCCAGGGTTGCAGCCGATAGGTTGAGAAGCACTGGCCTAGAGCTTGCCGGTTAGGCTAGGCTGGCCGGCCAGTGAGCCCCGCCTGTTTCTATTTCCCCAGTGCTGAGATTATAGGCATGTACCACGACACCTGGCTGTTGTTTGAATCTTAGATGGTCTTATAATAAAAAACTGAAAGCTAGATATCAGGGTGAAAGCTAAAAGATCAGAGAAGCAGAACAGCCAGCCACTGGATCTTACCTCTACAAAATCCTCAGTCTAAAGAGAGTGAGTTCCTGTTTCCTCACGCCTTATATACCTTCCTCTGCCCTGCCATACTACTTCCTGGGATTAAAGATGTGTGTGCTTCCCAAGCAAAGGCATGAGATCTCAAGTGCTGGGATAAAAGGTGTGTGCCACCACAGCCTGACCTCTGTGTCTAATCTAGTGGCTGTAGATGTAACCAACCATCTTATTAAATAAGAAACACAGAGCCAATGCAGGGATGAAAGTCCAAGAGGTCAGAGCTAAGAGCCTTACCTGTCACTGCTGCAGCTATCCTCTTCAGCCAAGAGAGCTACTTCCTGTGTGTTTGTCTTTATATAGACTTTCTGTTCTCCCTTCTCATTGGTTGTAAACCCAACCACATGACCTCCTTGTCACTGCCCATCTGTACAGACATCCAGGTCTTCTATGGTTGGTATTGAGATTAAAGGCTTGTGTCTTCATGCTGGCTGTATCCTTGAACACACAGAGATCCGCCTAGCTCTGCCTCCCAAGACCTGGGATTAAAGGCGTGTGCCACCAACCCCCGGCTCTGCTATGGCTTGCTATTAGCTCTAAGTAGGGGTTTCCTCTTTGACTGCAGGAAAGATTTGAACTGGATTTGCTGTGGGGGCCTGCCTGAGGCCCCTCTGGGAGTTTCCCGAAGCCCGAGGCAAAGGATTACTTTGCCTGTCCCTTGTTGGTCTACATTCGTTGGTCCAGTGTTTTCCCTTACCACACCTTCTGCATACTCTAGAAGGAAGGGGCATTCTGTTGCCATTGTTTTTTGAAGAAACATTGTTTCTAGGAATGACCTGTTTACAGTCCCTTTTTAAATGTCCTTGCTTTCCACATCCAAAACATCTAACATTCCTCAAACCTTTTGAAATTGCTTCTCCTACCCACATATCATCTTGGTCATGAGACTCAACATTAACCGTGTCTTTAATCCAGTCTTCCAATGGTGCAGATCTTGCCGTTAAAGGCCTGATTAGTCTTCCAATGGTGCAGATCTTGCCGTTAAAGGCCTGATTGTTCTCCTGCTGCATTCGAGTTCTCAAAAGCCAAAGATTCAATTATTATCTTACTAGCTTCTGAATCCAGGACCATTCTCTTTACTGCTGAAGCAGTCTTTGTAAAAAATCTGTGAAAGATTCTTTTGGGCCCTGTATAACCTTTGTAAATGACTCAGTTTTCTTTCCTGGTTCCTCAATTCTGTCCCATGCATTCAAGGCTGCCATTCGACATAGAATTAAGGTTTGGATATCATATAAACATTGTGTTTGTACTGTAGCAAGTGGTTGGCTCTGTCCTCTGATCCTCAGGCAAGTTTATTAGGCTACACACTATATCACCACACCTGGCTTTATACATGGGTGCTGGGGATTGAACTTGGGTCCTATGCTGTGCAGCAAGCTCTTTGAGCCATCTCCCCAGCTTTCTCTGGGGAGTTCTTATTCATCAGACTCACAGGAGAAATGATATATAAAGTGGAGCTGGCTTGGTGGTGCTTGCCTATAATCTGAGTACTCATGAGGCTGAGGCAGGGGAATTGTCACAAGTTCAAAGCTTATCTTGGCTACATAACAAGGCCCTGTCTCAGGAAACAAAGAGGAAAATAGCAGAAGAATGGTGGTACAGAGCAGAGATCACAGATCAGGCTGGCTTCAAACTCACAGAGATCCGCCTGCCTCTGCTTCCCAAGTGCTGAGATTAAAGGCGTGTGCCACCACCACCTGGCCGGAACTATTTTTTTTAAGATGTATTTTTATTTCTATTTATGTGTACTTCGTGTGTGTGTGTGTGTGTGTGTGTGTGTGTGTGTGTGTGTGTGTGTGTGAGAGAGAGAGAGAGTGAATGTATGCCATGGGTATGGGTGCTCTTGGAGGTCAGAGGAGGCTTCAATCCCCTGGAGCTGGAGTTACAGGTGGTTGTATACCAGTTACTAAGTTGGTATAAATCATAGAGTGTAATTAAGCTTACTGATGTGTTTGATCTTAAGTGTGAGTTGCTGTAACGAGCATACGTTCTCACAAACTCACACTTCACAACAGCCGCTCTGAACCAAGCTTGGGTCCGGCCCACGTCTTACTGTCCTGACCACGTGTCCAGGGTTGGAGGTGTCAGCACGGTCTCCCCCTCGGTGGAGCAGTGTTCCCACTTTTGTTTTATGGTGATGTTGGTGGACTCCTTGTGGGACTTTATACTCACAGGAGATTTCTAGTCTTTTCTCTCATTGTCTAGGTGTCTCGCCTGATTTTCTTAGGCCTTTTTTTTTTTATTGTATTCGTTTATTTATTGTGTGTGTATTTCTGACCCTTTTCTTCAGGTCATTGGCAGAGTTCAGGCTTAAGGTTGGGGAGATTGGCAAATACCATTACACATATTTTATGATTCTAGTTTTCCTTTGTTTTTGTTTCGTTTGTTTTTTAGATTTTATTTTTATTTTTAACTATGTGCATGTGTCTGAGACCCCCTGAAGCTAGAGATTCAGGCACTTGTGAGCCCCCTGAAGTGGGTGCTAGGAACTGAATTCAGGGTTTCTCCAAGAGCGGACTGCTGAGTGCCTCTCCTATCTGAGTTGCATTTGATGACCTATAATTTTATATTATTATCTCATCATTTTGATAGTTTTTAAGATGTTTTTGATATATATTTCTTCTAATTTTTTAGCTTTTATTTCTGTGAAAGGGCCCAAATAACTTAGACTTCATTATAGGAAATACATAGGTTAGGTAACCAATGTTTGGCTCTGACTGAGAATTGGGAGTTTTAATTTCAAATTATTATATTGAGTTAAGGTAGAGCACTAGAAGGTATGTATAGATGGTCATGTGTCAGAGAAGGGCCATGTCATTTGGTATGGGCTCAGGTCAAGCCAATGTCATCTAGAAAACGTCTTTATTTTTTAGCATTATACGAAGAGCAGGGTATAGAGTGATGAACGTTCTAGATGTGCTGTTTGGCTATGGAATTTCCAGTTGAATGGGTGGAGATCAGCAAGTCAGGGGCCATATCTAAAGCACCGTGCCTTTGAATGTGTTGGCTGTCTATGCAGCAGACACATTTGGTCCTTGGAGTTTCTTAGAACTTACTACATTAGAAGCCCCAGTCAGAGCTACTGAGTTCTGCCCCGGGAGAGCCTGTGGTGTGTCATAGTCCTTTTCCGACTCTAGGTGAGGCTCACATACCTGACTTTGACGCATAATCTCCATGTGCACACATTCCTCATTCATCAAATGCTGGCATTCAGTAGGAGCCAAGCAGGGGCTCACATTGATCAGAAAGAAAGGCACACTCATGGTATCGCTCACGTGTGCATGTTTGAAACTCTAGGGAACCTGCTCACACTGGCCTCTAGTTAATCACACTTTCCGTCCTGCAGCCTTTGAATCACACCTACAGAGTTACTCTCGGTGTGGGTCAGCGCCAGAACCCCACGTTCACCCTCTCTAAAATGAGTCAGCCTCCCATGCATTGCAAAGCTGGCTTCTGGCTTGTCATTCTAGTCTGTAACGTCACGTCAGGAAAGAGGACAACAAAAGACACTCAGTTTTTATTTGAGATAGAGTCTCACTATATCACCTAGGCTGGCTTCGAAGGGGTGTGTGTGTGTGTGTGTGTGTGTTGTGTGTTTGTGTTTGTGTGTGTGTGATGTGTTTGTGTTTGTATATATGTGTGTTTGTGTGTGTGTGTGTGTGTGTGTGTATGCACATGTGGTGCCCGAGCACATGCCTGTCAAGATTACAGGAGGATGTCAGGGCTCTGCCACTTTCTTCTTTATTCCCTTGAGACAGGGTT